GATCCCTGGGAGGAACATCGCAAGGGAGTTTGAAACAAGAAAACAATATTGAGCCTAAGAAATACGACCTAAAATCTCTACAACAAAGCGTGAAGGATTTATACATGAAAATATTTCGACAAAAATTATAGAGGAATCTGAAGAAAACCTTATATTACCAGAATATTAAAGAAAGAAAACAAAAGCCGTATTGGTGGGATGAAGTTATCAAGAAAGACAAAAGTAGGAAATACCAACAGTACTTAAGTTTACATAAAGGATAGGAGAAGAAGTCAAAGAAATATACATGAACCAAGATTAACACATTGCGTGCCATGGTCATATAGGGAAAACTTTCTCGGGGACCAAACCACGTCACCTATATATTGGTGACACTGAACAAATTTCTACTACTATTATGTATTTATTATTCCAGATATTTGCAGATTCAATAAGGAGCCCAAAAAAAAAGAACTTTGTTTACTCGGTTTTGATTGTCAAGAAATAGGTTCATTTTCCGGAAATCAACTTTTCATGGCAAAGTTCAAGACCGAGTTTACAAGGTTCTTTTATTTACAGTTTTACTAAATTGGCGATAAAAAAAGTATTTGAATATATTTACTCACACCAAAAACATCAAAATGTTTCTCAGGGAGCCACCTTGAATACAGGCCATTAAAAATACATAGAACGTCACCTACGGAATAGTGACGCGGCTTGCAGTGAAACACTACGCGTCACCTATACAGGGTGTTGATAAATAGTGCGATCAAACTTCTAGGATAAATAGTACTCAATAAAATAAGCAAACAGGTAATAGAAACATGGGTCCGCGAATGCTTAGTAACCTTAGTTTTCAAGATACCAGGGTGTCAAAGTTTGAAAAAAAAATCAACTTTTTAGCTCAAAAATACCTTTTCCAATTTTCTTTTATATAGGTGACACACCTCCTGAGAAACATGTCTGTCAACTATATGTAGGTGACGTGGCACACAATGTGTTAAGCAGGGTAGCACAATCACCAAAGGCTTTTCGGCTTTACAGGACCAAAGGAAGCTGTGGAAAAGGACTGAACAGAGATACTGCGTATCACCGACAGTTTTTAAAATATACTTGGAACGAGCGGTTGAAGTGGGGGGAAAGAAATGCAGACACATGGGGATACCGCTCAATGAATACAATAATTATGTATGTATGTCGTACACAGTGCCGGCCCGAGGTTACTTTTAGGATGGAGCGAGATCTGACTTTGGCGCTCCTAATCAAGTAAATGTAAATTGTATACTCTAACCACCGATCAGAGCTGTTCTAAACTTAAAATGTCAAGTAATTTGACTTGAATTTCCCAAATTCAAGTACAAGTACCAAATTCCAAAGTCAGATTCAAGTTAGTATTAACTTAAACTTGCGTAGGTACTTGAAATGACATTCACGTAGAAATACTTCAAAAAATAATTTAGGTATTTTTTCTTTCAAGTATTATTCAAATTAAAAACAAATTAAATTATTGCTATCGATAATCTTAAACGGGGTGTGACCCAAAAATAAGTTTTAGAAAAAAAAATCTGAGAACAAATTTTCAAGCCGCACTAGGTTACGACCAACCGTTGCGAAGATACTGTGATATAAAATTCCTACTCCTAGCACTGTGACGTCATATGCACAAACTGAGTTCGACAGCCGGCGCTGGCGCGCGTATGGTGACATTTATTCAACTGGAAATTACCGTTCTAGAACGTTTCTCATGTCGGTTGGAAAAGAGCTATTATCGACATTATCGTATCGTTTTTGCGTTCTCACATCTATTGCTGCGTCAGTTTAAATAGGTTTTGCAATTTTTGTGTATATTTATGACGTCCCGCGATGAATAGACATAATTTTATTTAGTCGTATCTACCTTATTATTTTGAGTAGTGATGCGAGATTTTCACAAGAGTTCTTAGAATTTTTTTCTTTATTTTCTGAATACAAGTTATATTTTAAGGTTACACCCACATTAATAGGAGAGATTCAGTATAGGCGCCACAGGCACAGGAATTGGTATTGGGAGACGCTAACTGGGCTCTTCCTACCTACTGGCTGGGTTTCAGCTGCTGTCTTATCACAGACTTACCACCCTTTTGCTCGCAAGCAGAATAGCAGAATATCGAAAAACGAAGACAGGATTCAGAGCAGTGTGTCTATCTGATTGTAAAAATCATAGCTCCGTTATCCTGGACTATTTCTCCATAAAATTTCAATATGTTGAAGCTGAAAGCTTCCTTAGTAAATAAAAGAAATTGGTTAATCTAGGTTTCCAGAATTTTTAGAAAAAAAAAATCTGGAATGAGGCAATCAGGCTATGGCAAAGATATCACTAAGTGTGTCTGTCTGATTGTAAAAATCATAGCTCCGTTATTCTGGGCTATTTCTCTATAAAATTTTAGTATATTGAAGCTAAAAGCTTCCTTATTAAATAAAAAAATATTTGGTTAATGCAAGTTTCCAGAATTTTTAGAAAAAAAATTAGGAATGAGGCCATCAGGCCATGGCAAAAATATCACTAAGTGTGTCTATTTGTTTGTAAAAATCATAGCTCGGTTATCCTGAAATATTCTTCAATAAAATTTTAATATGTTGAAACCGAAAGCTTCCTCAATAAGCCAAAAAATATTTGGGTCCTCCAGGTTTCCCAGATTTCCAGGAAAAAAATCAGAAATCAGGCCATAGGTTGTAATGCAAAAATATCACTCAATGGAGCTTCGGATTGAAAAAATCGTAACTCAGCTATCTTTGGTTTTCACCAATCAAATTGTGGTATGTCAAAGCTAAAAGGCTCCTAGATATATAAAAAAATCTACAATTCCCAAAGTTTCCCAGATTTCCAGAGAAAAAATCAAAAATAAGGCCATAGGCTGTACTGCAAAAATATCGTTCGGATAAACAGATTTCAGAAACATATTTTTCTTTTTTTTTTTCACCAAGGAACAAGTCGGAGGCGCCCCTCGAGGTCTGGCGCCTGGAGCGCTCGCTCCATTCGCCTTATGGTAGGGCCGGCCCTGGTCGTACATATATACATTCATCTGCAAAGCTTAGAGAACATTGTGCTCTAAGCTTTGCAGATGAATGCTATTAGATACACAGGATTATTTACTATGACCTAGAATACATGACATATGACACGTAATTATGAACATAAGACATACAATAGTTGATGATATTGGAGATAAACAACTGATTTGGTTCGGACATGTACAAAGAATGGCAGATAGAGAATAGGTACCCAAGCAAATCATTGAGTGGAAGCCAGGGAGAAGAAGAAGACCCCCGAGACCGAGAAGAATAAAATGACAGACAGAGGCATCGGGGTGGCTGCCTGGGACTTTATTCTCGAAACCGAGGAACACCGTTCTCATAAGAACGATTGCTCTGTCATTGTCAGTGTTATGGAAATATGAATACGGACGACGAAAACAAAAACTCCGTTCTCATGAGAACGCTGCTCCCCTGTTATGAGAATAAAGTCCCTGGATGGAAAGAGATTGTTGAAGTTTGAGACGTAGAACGTTATAGATCGATAATTATGTATATACACAAGTGTATATTTGCCGACCGAGTATTCAGTGCTTTCAGCGGACCTGCAACCATTCCATGATCCATCGATCCCTTTGACGAAAATCAAATTATGCGCACTACAAAAAGCTAACTAAACACTAGGCAAAATACACATTTTCATAACAATGAACTCTTTACCTGGAGAAGTTTCCCAATTAACGCAAGAAAATTTTACTATTAGTTAACATCGGTCTGTGATACCGTGCCCCCAAAAATAGAACTACGAGGGGTTGCACTTCAAAAGTTCTGTAGTACCGGAATCCGATAACAAAAATATGAAGTTACTGAGGTGCATGCGCGCTTATTGCAGCGGGTTCGTTAGTTATCGGCGGAACGTACCTAAGTCGGTCTATTAGACCGGGCGTTAACGACGGAAGGTTAAGGTCTGAGGCAACCCCAAGGAGCAAGTATAAATTGGGCTCGGAAAAGGCACAGATCCAGAATAAACAAATTTGAAAGGCCCTGCCATAATGTCACTGGTGGGCCATCTATCACCAAAGCAACACAGACCAACATAGTTCAGCTTTGCTACTCAACTTTTGTTCAACGCGACACCAACATAGTCACAAAGCACAACAAATAACAACATGATGGTACAACATAATGTGACTTAACATGTAGTGTTGCTGTAAGTTGAAATATGTTGCTTTGGTGGAGACGCAATTTTATGTAAAGTAGGTGTGTGTATCAACAATTCAAAACTGGTGGATTTTGTGAATAATCCATCAACAGTAGATGGCACTGCTTGTCAAAATTTTGTTGACAAAGCTATCAACGCAAGAAAGTCCATTATTGACAGTTTATAGAGTAATTGTCGCTATATAATAGTATATACTAACCGCACATAGAAATACCAATCAACTATAAACTATACGTATCTGGAATGGCACAGACCGTTGTTGGATATGATATGGCATTTGTCTCTCTCTCTTAGTGCTTCCAAAAATAGCTATATAGTGGGGGATACCTTTCTCTCTCTAGTTCGTTGCTAGGTTTGGTATATTCCTAACCTCAAATATAATATTTTTTAGACAAGGGAAGATTTCCATAATTCGCCAATGAGATAATTAGAGATAGGTATCCTTCACATTCTCCATCTCAATTTGCCTCAATTTTATAGATCGGCGGGCCATTCCAGGTACTTACGTGTAGTTTATGGTTCATTGAGAAATACATATCTTTTTTTTTTTTTCGTTTTTTTCGCGTTAGTCGACTTTCGCAATAAGAAAGCCAGGCCCAACAAAGTAGCTGATAAATAGCATTTTTGTTAATTCACTTATTCATAATTGCTAATGAACCTTTGCCAAAATATATCTCGCATTGCCATGTGATGTTGCATTTTCGATAACCCCCTTATCATTCCGAATAGCGAATAGTGATATTGGCGAATGACCGAATTCTGCGTCTAAACACACAAAAAAACTAACTGAGAGCTAAATTTTCATCGTTCATTGAATTCGCACAGCAATATTCAGCATCTCTGCAGCATTTAAGATAATTATCAAACATTTTCTCTGTTTTGAATGAATTTTTCAATAAATTCACTGATTCGGAATCTCCGTAGTCATACATAGCGATTGTGCTTTCGTTAACCTAAAAATAATAGGAACCTGGGTAATAAAAATATGACTCAATGTTATATTTGATGAATAACATCTGCTTAGGGGTATCATAAAAACTATTTTGGGTTAGTTTAGTAAATAAATGAAACGTTGCTTTTGTTTATTTTGCTTTGAAAAATTTGGTAAACTACTTCCAATATTTATTGATATGTGAACCTTTTGCAATACAGCATTTCTCTGGACATCAATAATTCATATCCAAACACTTTTAGGTCTTCTAGGTTTTAAATCTTAAGGGTGAAATAATTTTAAAACATCAAGAGTTACTTATTTTATAAAGGTTAAGACAAGCTGGTGAAGTCAAATTATGAATCTTCCGCTATATTTAAGTTGAATCATTTCGAAGTAGGTCCAAAAGAATTACAAAACAAAGTGAAGCCAATTTTAAGATATTTTTCTTGTTGAGTTACTTGACTATTTTCTCAAAACCCATTTTATATTTTTTTTAAAAGGAATAATGCATCTGGTTCTAAAATTTGTTTGTGAGCTTTCAATTCCATACTTACAATAGCCACTGGTAATTTCAAGGTATATCCTTTGCAATTGAATGAAAAATTCAGGTTGTATTTTAATTTTTTGTTAAATCTTGCATCATTTGTGTAGTTGTAGCAGAAAAATCCGGTGTAGTGATTCCAAATTGATTGACTTAATAATGACCCTCTTACAGAACACATTTTAGAAGTGTTCTACAGCAAAATATATATAGTTAGCAGAAAACAATTGTTTGAAATATAAAAATACCACTTACATAGGCATCTGACAGACAGTAACTTTGATTCGCAGTATTGGGTAGAGCTCTCTGAAACAAAATTTCAAAGGAATAATGGGTAGGTAGGTACCTACTTTGCATTTTTTTGTTGTCACGTGTGTTCTATAGTCTTCCTATTTTATTTATTTTTTAATTTCACCAGCACGTGGTTTACCTATATTGTTTGTTTACAATACATATCATAATAATATTATCTACTATCAAAATTAAATATGGAAGTAAGCTTTGCTACATTATCCATAGACTATAAACCTGATTGGGATTACTTTAAAATGAAAAAGGTTGAATCAAATATACCTAATCCCTTATCCATGTATTTTTTTTAATCTGAAATAAAGAACTATTTTCGTTGTACTTACAACTCCAACATAAATAGCAGAGAGTACAAATAATCCGTCCAAAACTACTTTGTCAAATCCAAAATTAAAATTCATATTCGCAATAAAATTCCAATACACTAAGAAAAGCAGTACCTAAATAAATCTGTCAATGGGGATTAAAGATTAAAGCCAATTTAATCTTATCAAAATTCCAATACTCAATTCGATTTTTCAATCACAGAACGAAACAAAATTTCATCTTAGTAAAAATAATCAGAAATTTCACTTGAGATAAGGGGTTTTATTTCCTTGATTAGTTGCATGGGCCATGGTATTTATAGTTTAATCCAAATACATGAATTCGCTTCATGGATTTAAATGTGGGATTTTTGACAGGAAGGTTTACTTCACCTTAACGAATTAACACGAGATAAGTTTAACGTGAAGTGACGACATGGCCAAAAATAGAATCAGGCTCTGATGACCGAACTTGTTTTTTCGTAAAAATCAAGTCAAAACATATACATACTCCTGTAGTGCTCAAACCTTTTTGATCTGGTTGGTCGAAGCTGTGCACCGCGGCCATTGCCGTTACGGGTTCTGGTGCCTTGCTTTGACCAAAGTTTACACCACGGCCATATGTGGCAAATATGCATGTTCAAAATACTCTCAAACCCACCACGGCACTTTACGTGTTATTTTTAAAATACATGCAATTTCTGCCAGAAAATCAGGTTAAAATGATGTGCATAAAAACTAGTAGATGCTATTGCTAATTCAAAATCTATCAACTTTGTAACTAGTGTCTAGGGCGAGGCCAGGTGGGAGCTACTTTAGCAGTTTGCAGTCTTCTTAGTTTTTCATATTTCGACGGGGTTTAAGTTAATGGGATTTTGCATGGGGGTTGGAAATGGTATTAGAATAGTAGAATAGTACTCTATTACAAGACTCGAAGTCCGAGTTGGAAATAGTGCTCTTTCAATTTCATGACTGGAGTCGATGTCTAAGTATGGTTTATTGAATTTATTTTGAATTAAAAAAAATGCTTCGCCAATGGTCGTTCGGGTGTTTCCGTCAAATTGCCTGCCAAGTTTTGGTTGCTAATTTCACACCGGGTCTTCTTATATTATTAAAAATAATAAAGAATTTATTATTGTAATTTGTTACGTCGAAGAACACAAAGAACGACTGTATTTGTGAAGGAAAAGACATTTCAAATAACCTAGCAAATAAAGTTGATGTTCATACAAATCTGAACATTTTATTGTAGCTTTGTTGTACCAGTCCATTAGTAATTATCATGCTGTATGAACACATCACACAGGTATTTGCTTGTTTTGCAAATATTTGCGCCTTTGATTTGTGTGTAGTCAACAACTTGCGGGAAATATTTATATTGATACTAAATATCCCATAAACATATTCTTCTATGCGCCTAATATCCGAATGTGTGGAGTCGCCTTAATGACGACCATAGAGAAATTACAGATGTGTGATGGTGGTCGAGGTGATGGTGAATGAATCACAACAGACAAATAAGCAACAGTTTCATGCTGCATTATGAGGAGGTCGAGAAGGATTTGGAGAGACCTGCACCAAAGAGTAAACTTGAATCAGTTGGGAAAAACGGAAAGGATTGTATCATATATTCAACTTACCTCTAACTTTTTTGGTTTTTTGAAGTCATGTTACGTTCAAATTTTGCCTTAGTACGTAACTGGAATTTCGAATAGATTCAGTAATTAATTCAGGTATTTGTGAGGGTATTTATGGTGCTTTATACCTGTGGATCAATATTTTTTTTTTGATTGATAAGTTTCTCATTGGATTTTACTAGTTTTCTGCCTTTTGGTTGAATGCGAAACAATATGTGAATATGTGGGTGTTGAACAAAGGTATATTTTTCGGGGTATTACTGAGTTAATTCTTTGTATTTAGATGACAGGGTAGTTTTAGGATAATAAAGCCCTACTAATAGGATCGAAATCTATTTTATTTAGCTTACGAAAGTTGTCTAAAATGCCCTAACTGTTGATGAAAATGTTTGTTTACTTCCTGCAACACCACAAATCACCTTCACACCATTTAAATCGCTTTTCCCCCTTATTTGCAGTAATATCTTCATTTTCCCGATTATTTATTTCCGCCGAATAAGTGTGGTTATGGGACACTTGTTGATCCGTTTCAGGCAGCGCTGTTGCCGAGGTTTATTGGCCTTTGTTGCTATAACGTTGCTATCTATGAACAGGTGGTTATTTTAATGGTTATTAGACTAAAGACTAGGTAGATGATGATTACTAATTGAATAATTAGTGTTAGGGGAGAAAATTGGATAACAATTTTGAGTTTTGTTTGTCATCAATGTGGTTTGGGTTGTTCGTTCCAAGCTGATTGTCTCGTTTTCCTGGTCAAAACCGGACATCTGGCACCAGAGGGCATCTTGGAAAAAAATAGTATTCTGGTAAATTTCTTATGTAAGCCCATCTGGTAAATGGCTAAAATAGGGTCGTTCTCTTTAAATTCGCACGTTGAGCAACCAACAAGTATTTGGCAGATTTTACCAGCGGTCCTCTTGCTGCGTTCCTTGGAACATCCACCTTTTGTGGGATTTTAGAGGCGTTGGGAACTCAAGTGGTTGCTGGCTTAATTGGTTTGGGGGTGAAAACTTGGATTTGGTCGTAGGTCCCCGTATTTGTAAGCCAACCACTCAGAATTTTCTGCAGACGAAAATCTACGCCATTTTGTTGAATTCTCGATGCGAGAAGCGAGCACGTTTTGTTCAACTAGAAGCCTGAATTGTAACCAAGTGAATTTAAACGTTTTTATCAATCTGAATTTACCTTTTCGTTATCAACATTTAGATTAGCATATCAGTAATTTTGTAAATATTTGGGATTCTGTAAAAAAAAGGCAATGTGACCTCGAGGAGCAATTTGTCAGTAAAAAACTCACTAGTCACTTTCAAAAGGGACCTTATAAATTAAGGGGATCTTTTTCAATTTTTTTTCAAATGAAACTTGCAGGTTTCAGGGAATTTTGCTACTTTAATTTCATTTATATATATTATACCATTTGAGGGTTGGGATTTTGATTTTATAAATAATCTGAAGGGGTTCTAAGAATTTGTATTCTTTCAGGGTTTCATTATTGTGGGTTTTACCTTTCCATTGGGTTTTTATCTTTCGACGGTTTGCTAGTCTCGAAGTTGAGGTGTCAGAGTACCCACAACACTAAACTAGAAACCGAATTTTACCCTATTTAAGAAGGAAAGTCAAGAAGTTGATGGGGTCTGTTATCCAGGCTGTGAGGCTGTCAGGAGACAGTAATGTAAATGGGTGTTTAGACTGCAGGGAGGACCACAAGGGGGTGATGTACCCGTTGATTTATTAACGTTTCTTAATTATATTTTTTTATTATGATTATTAATAGGAATTATATTTAACTTGGTACATTTCCAAATCTATTTTACCGCCTTCATCATCATAATGGATATACTGTACCAATGATTATTAATTTGCTATATTTAAGGTGACATTTTTGTACAAACCCGCCCCGGTATACCATGGTATAAGCGTGCACAGGTTTTAATTATTAATATTATTCTTTTTATTCCTTAATTGTTCTCTTTTACTCTCATTGGGGTAAGGTGGTTAAACATTTATTAGTGAATCTTGAAATTAATGGAGTATTTCATAAGATCATTACAAATTGGTCCTTGCTACCTTTTGGTAATATTACCAATTACATTTAATAATAATTACTGTGGTATTTTATATATTGCCTTACATTGGCCTTGGAATGCCATTGCAGTTCTAAACATACCCCCCCCCCCTAGATTTATACTCATTGTTTTTACTACTGACCTACCTCAACCAAACTAAAGTAAAGTTGTAAGGATAGGTACATCAAGTGGGAACATCTTGGAGGAATTTTGGAGATCAGGGACTTTCTGGTTTAGGTCCGCGGATTTTATTTTGTAAGCCAGAGGCGCCCTATAAAGTTAAAACTATATAATGAACCTACTCCCACACCACTGGGTAGCCGCGAGCACTTTGTTGCGCTGGCCGCATTCCTTAAGGGTGTCTTACTGTACCTAGGCCTATATAAGAAGAACCGATGTGAAGTTAGTAGCCAAAACTTGGCAGCCAATTTGACGGAAACACCCGAACGACCATTGGCGAAGCATTTTTTTTTTAATTCAAAATAAATTCAATAAATCATACTGCAACCCCCATGAAAAATCCCATCGACTCAAACCCCGTCGAAGTACGTAAAACTAGGAAGACTGCAAACTATCTCAAGTAGCTCCCATCTGGCCTCGCCCTAGACACTAGTGAATTCGTAAAATTTGCTTTTACATGGGAGTATCTGCTTCACCTACGAGGAATATACTACACTGTCTCGAATAACAGAAGTACCTACTTAACTGCTTAATTGAAATATATATTGTCCGTCGTTTTTAATCTGACACTTACTCTCCTCATACAGAGAGCGAGGGGGTGAAACTTATGGCCAAAACAGGTGTGACGTCAGGTGACCATTGGCGTTCTAATGTAGGGAGCCACCGCCACCAGCTCACATTCCCTTGGAGTATCAGATTAAAATCGACGGACTTCACTGTCGTGCGGTGTCGTAATGAGCATTAGATGTCACAACAATCGTGTTAGAACTCGTTTTTCCATCAGTGCCTGCATTAGAGCCTTAACAGGCATGGTAATATTATCATTATACTTTTATGAAAGTTACAATGTATAAGTGACTCTTTTGACTCCGAAACTACAAAAGAGTTAGGCCAGGATAAAACTGAACAGTAGTTGTTATTTGTTACCCTTCGTGAGGTTTTCCAAATTATCTTTGATACCAAGTTGATCCCAAAAATCAAGAGCAGAAAAAAAGATGCAGGCACCGAAAAAACTGAAAAAATTAACTGCCTTGCTTTAATTAAGTAAATAATGTACGATATATACCATCATTGTCGTCCTTTGTTTAATAGTTACTTACATTACAAGTGCGTTTATGAACATGATTACAATAACGAGTGTGAAGGATAAGAACGACGAGGTCGTAGACCGAGTCGTTCTAATTGCACGAGTTTTGTAGTCATGTTAAAACACACGTGTGATGTACAACGTTTTATCTACAAAGCGAAAACTAGGAAAATGGTTATTTCAATCTTCGTTTATCAGTTGTCGCCTACTTTTATTTTACCTCCACAGGCTTTAGCTATGATATTTGTCAAATCACAAAAACTAAATAGTTGTGTTATAGATTCATAACCTATTCCATAACACCACTAGTTGTGTTATGAATTCATAACTTAGTCCAAAATACAACTAGTTTTGTTATGAGTTTCGTGACACATAACTCCAATACTAGTAAAATGGTTATGTGAAAGCGTCATCACCAAACGCTTGTAGATAAACTTTTTCACGACGCACATTCATGAAAGCTGCAATTTTTCAACAAAAAACTGAATTCGTGGTGGTTAAAGTTGCTCAAATGCCATGCAACTTCACTTAACCTGCAGTATATACTATTAAACTACTAGATACTTCAAAAGCGTAGTACCTTCTTCTATATGAAAAGTAAATAGTAGCAATATGCTAGGGAGAGTAGTAAATGCTTCGTTAATGTAGGTAGTAGAAACTTCAAGGATGTTGTAAAAAACTTGAAACATTGGGTGGTATGAATGAAAACGAAGTATCTGCTACTACTACAAGCATTAGTATATTCTCTGAAGTATTTGCTTTAAAACAAAGTAAATACTACATTTCGAAACTACCGGAACGGAAATTAGTAAATCCTTCTCTCTAAGGTAAATACTGTGTAGAATATACCAATACTTGTAGTAGTAGCAGGAATGTTTTTATTCATACCACCCATTAGAATAGACTACTTTTTATGCGTTCCACCCGTCTTCGCTTGCACTCCTAATAATTATTATATCTCAATCAAAAAATACATAGTTTATATAGACTTTTGACCTAAAGCTTAAAATTTTAGTTTGGAATATTTTCTAATTTTTTCACCATAAAAATATTACTTACATTTTCGTAAAAGCAAATCACTACTAATAAAAGAAAACTAATAAACACTTTTTGGGCAAATCCTACCCAACGCATTATGCACTCATCCAATTCAACTAACTCAGTCAACCCTGAAACAATAAGCGATCAACGAAACTTTATTAAACTTAATCACAGCCGATGAATGGGATTAATTTTTGATAATCTAATCAAGGGACTACCTATTGATATTTGTTTGAGCGGCGCACTAAATTTGCGTGACGACTCTATACGCCGAAGAGTTATCAGGTAAAAGGTAAAAATAATTAAAAAGTTAGCGTATAGCGCTAACGCACCTTATTTTTAGGTTTACTGGTTTACTTTATCGTAATAAAAATCGGTTTATGACACTTATATGTGGTTGGCTTTAGGCTAAATATACACGGTAAGAGCCGACACGGCCAGATAGTTTGCTGAAACCGTAATAAAGTTTTAAGCGAAGATCTCGTGGATAGATCTCGCACATGAACCTTCTAGTGTAAGCACTAGAGGCACAGACAGTTTTACTGGCCTAGAAAAAATAAATTCGACTGACAATATTAATATAAAGATGGATTGGTCGGAGGGGAATCTGGTGTTTCTGAATAAAAAGCAAAACCGTTTTATCTCAACATGTCTAATTAGTGGTTAAGTCAAAATACATAAGATAGGAAGCTGAAATAATCTTTTATTTCATTGCGTTTGTATATGTAAAGTGCGATAACTGAGTGAACCTTGATAACGTATGAAGTAGCAGAGGGGAAGACGAAAACCTATACTATACGACGCGACGGGTCTCCAACGTGGTGCATTGCAAAAATTGCGTTTACCCTGACGCGACGACCCGCGTATATGTATATTTCTAACTCGGGCCAATCAGGAGGGTTTTGCCCGCATTCCTTCCACACAGGTTCACTCACTTGTCGCACTTTACTTGTCTGCGTGGCAAGTCGTTGCATTTTGCCTCATTGCTTCCGTACACTGTATCCTCTTCAGCAATATACATTTCATCGACCTGTTAAGTCATGTAACAAACATTTAATTACCTACTTTAGAACATGCATACCATCATTGGATGAGGTAAATTGGCATTTGGTATGCAATTTTGCCATTGTTTGCATATCAATCACCTATACGCGATTTTACCAAGATTTCACAGTCGGCTCTTATAGATTAATATATCATATCGTATTGTTTTACAAACACCATCGAAAGTCCAAATTAACTATTTTTTTTGGTTAAATCGATATCATTTTTTTAAATCTAATTTTATTTTATTAAGTATCCATGAAATATTTGTCTCTGTTGAAAAGTAACGTCAAAGAATCTCGAACTCTTGCTCGATGGAAAGTGATCCAAGAAAATACATAATTCCCGTCAGAAATCGAAGAAGCTGCCAATAAAGCTACTCTTGAATTATCGACTAGCAACAGTACTAGTTTTCATACGATCCGTTTCTTGAAATGATGTGGCACAGTAATATTATGGCAAGCAGGCCAGTGGTAAGGTGCTACTTCGAATGCCTTTGAATAAAAGAAACATTCAGAGTAGGAAGCGCTTCAGAATTGAAGAGAAAGATTTATTCGTTGGGAAAGCTTACTATTTAGTCGCAGAATTTTTCAATGACTCCCTAAACTAGTGTTTATATTTACTTAGGTATACTTTTTTTGAATTTGCCGTACGCTATATGTGTCATGTCTTGACATAGACATAGACCTGACACATATAGTTCATTGACTTAAACTTCAATTTAATTTATTAATTATTATTACCTGTTATCAGTTTGACTTTCTATAGCTATTTTCGGGTTCGAAAAAAGGACGGTTCTAGAACAGTTCAAAACAATCGCACAGGTCATCAATCAACAAAATGACAACTGCTCAGCTATCACAAATTTCAATAATAAACTGTGCGATTGTTTTGAACCGTTCTAGAACCATCCTTTTTTCGAACCCAAAAATAGCTAAAATTTCTTTTAAGTAGTGTTTGTTTAGTATCATACTATGATTGTTCCATATTTATCTATGTAGTATTAGGAATTTATATTGGATTAGTATGCTTTGATGATGATATTGTATTGGTCTTTATTCAATAACACTGTTTTCGATTTGATTTGAGTTGTTCACTGGTAGTGAACAAATAGCAGAAAAGCGAAAAAGGAGGAAAGACTGGAAAGCTACAGAAAAGCCAAAAGGGAGCTCAATGGGGATATTAGAAAGAAGAAACAGGGAGCCTGGAAGAAACTCCTACAAGAGCTTGAGGACGATGTCTGTGGTGCAGCTTATAAAATAGACATGGACATAGGCGCCGGAACCATGGGGGTAATGGGGGCAATGGGGGTAATGGGGGCAATGGGGGTAATGGGGGCAATGGGGGCAATGGGGACAATGGGGGCAATGGGGGCAATGGGGGCAATGGGGGCAATGGGGGCAATGGGGGCAATGGGGGCAATGGGGGCAATGGGGGCAATGGGGACAATGGGGGCAATGGGGGCAATAGGGGCTTGTTGTGAATTTTCTATGGGGGCGGAGCCCCCATATTGATTTTGGTATTGTATGTATATGTTTTTGTTGTTATTGCTATACCTACCTACTTTAACAAACAGTTTGAATATTTTGTTATGTAGTATTTAAACCTGTATTTTCAATAAGTTATTGGATTAATATTTCCTTCCCGTTTGTTTTCATGATAGGTACGTTTACATCACATAAATATATCATGATGTACCAATACACTGGATTTTTTCACCAAGTTTATCATGGAAAATTTATATACAGACCGGACCAATCACCAACTTACTAGACACATAGGAAGTAATAACACGAATTAGCTTGTACTCGGTTAAGGCGAATCGAATCGGTGCTGCCCACTGGCGTATCCAGGGAGGCGGACAAAGGAGTATTTGCCCCCTTCCCCCAAAGGCCTTTAAATGTTATTAATAATTCAAAATTAAAATAAACAAAAAAAATCAATTCAAGTCTTAGGTAAATAATCAAATACATATTGTCCGTCGATTTTAATCTGATACTCGGACGGAATGTGAGCTGGTGGCTCCCTACATTTAGAACGCCAATGGTTACCTGACGTCACACCTGTTTTTGCCATATTAAACACCCCCTCGCTCCTCATACGGAAAGTGACAGTTAAAAATCCACGAACAATAGGTACCATCGTCACCAAAAGTAACTGGGACAGCATCACATTAGCTCTTGTCCTAATATATGAATTTTATTGTCAAATATTTGTCAAACTATGAATTAATGGCCGTTTGCACCGACCATTTTGAGGGAGGTTCAACGATAAGGATACCTTAAAATGACATTTTTATATGTAAAAGTGTCACTTTAAGGAACACTTATCGTTAAGCCTCCCTTAAAAATCTTAAAATTGTCGGTGCAAACGGCCATAAATGCATTGAAATGAATGACAGCACAGAACAATGACAGTAGAATTAGTCCAGGAGATTATTATGCATTGTTTGCGTCCCAGATACTTTTGGTGACGATGGTACATATCGTCATATGAGTAACGTTCTACTATAAATTCTTATCAACATTTGTAAAAAGGAAAAGGCCGCATCTTTGCTTGCCCCTACCATTGGAAATCCCAAAAATACCGTAAAAAGACCCAAAAAATTCGCGCGGTTGAAGTTTTTAGAACTTTCGTAAAGAATTTTTGAATTTGACCTGGGGCTAAAGTAGATGTCCTTATGTGTTCACCAAAGGCAGAGGTAGTTTTAGTAAGGTGTTCGTGTATGCGTGTTTTGGGTGGTCTGCAAGTACGACCAATATAAGTGCAATTGCAGGAGTTGCAATTTAATTTATATATTCCACTTTTGGACAGGTGGTCAATTTTGTCCTTGAAGTTAACCAGAACCGAAGACAAACTATTTTTGGATTTACAAGAGATTCTAATGTTATGGACATTTTGGTGAAGGTCCTGTAGAGTTTTCAAATTCAAATCATGATTTAAGAATTGAATAGCAATGTATCTTTCAATTGGCTGATTAAGGGTAGGAAATAATTCCTTCTTCAATCTTTTGTATTTAGTTTTCGTTATGAGGGTGTCAATTAAGTTCGGGCCGTATTCGTTATTGTATGCTAGTTGTTTGAGAATTTTAACTTCATTAATATAGTCTTCTTTTGAGAGGCGTATGTTTAGCAATCTATTAATGTAGCAATGGAAAGCTGCCAATTTATGTTGTCGAGGGTGGGTCCCTGAAAGTTCCAACTCACGACTGTATTTATTTCAAAAAACAGATTACTTGATATTTTTTCAACAAAATATGACTTCCCATACACAACCCAGAGGAAAATCACAAACTTTTTGAACCGGAAGACATAAGAAATGCGGCTGCAAGTATCAAACCAAACAAGGCATCTGGACCAGACAACATCCCCCCGCAAGTAGCAAAGAAGCTGATCGAGGAAAACTCGGACACCATAGGAAACATAATTAAGCAGTGCCTGGAAACAGAGACATTTCCATAAGTGTGGAAGACGGCCAAATTGGTACTGATCGAAAAAGCAAAGAAATACTCAGTGCAACAAAATACATATAGACCTCCATCTTGCTAGACGTTATGGGAAGATTCCTTGAAGGTCTGATCAAGATACAACTATACAAGAAAATAGAAGAGAAGAACATGTTGAGCGACAGACAGTGTAGATTCAGAGAAGAACGAAGCACCGTAAGTGCCATCAAAAAAGTTGTGAGCAGAAAGTGAGGGGATTATCAGAGCACTGAAGAAATACAAAATCAGTGACTACATGATCAAAATTATCCAGTCATACCTAAGCGAACGACACATAACGGAACACTGAAAAACCTACAGAATAACATCGGGAGTTTCACAGGGATCAATGCTTGGCCCAACTTTCTGGGATATATTTTACAATGAAGTAGGTAGGTACTCGAAATCAAGACAGGAGGAAGCGCATTACTGGTCGCATATGCTGACGACCTTGTCATAATTACCAAGGGCAAAACAACAACACAGCTGGAGACGAAAATCGAACTTGCCGTCAAAACCATCACAAGGAACGAAATGGGAATGCAAATCGCAGCACAAAAGACTGAACTTGTCCTCTTATCGGGTAGGAGAAAAGTCCCCACAATGCAAGCACATGTGAGCCAATTTAACCTTGAACAGACTTATGCCAAACCTCGGGGGACCAAGCGCAGGACAGCGGTGGTTTCGCTAATTGTAAGCGCGGCACCTGCCTGGGAAGAAGGAATGAAATACAAACATTGCCAAGGAATACTAGAAAGAATAAACCGCAGAATGGCCTTGGGAGTAATAATGGCATACCGAACGGTCTCGAGAGATGCCGCACAAGCTCTAGCCGGCATAATACCCCTGAATCTATAAATAAAGGAAAAATCAGTTATACAGTGTGATTTTTTTAAGTGTGCAACATATGGGGATTTTTTCCAGTGATAGCACAACCCAAATACAAACAACGCCAAAAGTTGGTGCATGTCTGATAATCATATTAGGTGCACTTAGAATGGTTGCAAGTCAAACAGCATACAGGGTAGCTCAAACAATATTAAAGCTGTACTGTAAAGTACCCTTATTTTAGAAAATTCAGCAAAATGTTATAGAGAAAAGTTGTTTGCCATTAAAAGCTATGCCTAAATACCAAAACATAGCCTGCTAGTATTTTTTTTATTTTCTTTCGAAAAAAATCTATAATTTCTATATTTTTCTTATTTTTTGTTTCCGCCCTTAATACTTTCAAAAATTAATTAAAATCAAATCAATTTTACATAACTTTGTTCAAATTCAAGCATATTTGTAAAATTAACTTGGATTTTTAATTTTTTATGGAATCACAAAATTCATGTTTGTTGCAATGATATTCAACATAACTTTAAAATGTCACAATTTTTTTTTTTAACAAGTTAAAACATTACTAATGATAATAGCCATATTAAAAAAACTCTCCTTAAAGTGCAAAAGTTTTATTTTATTCAAGTAAATATTACTACAATTTTGATATTTTTTGAGCTACCCTGTATGCTGTTTGACTTACAACCATTCTAAGTGCACCTAATATGATTATCAGACAAGCACCAACTTTTGACCTTGTTTGTATTTTGATTGTGCTATTACTAAAAAAAAATCCCATATGTTGCACACTTAAGTAATGACACTGTATACAGAACACGAAAAGAGACTGCGGGGCAAGCAAGAACACAGACATACACTGAATGATGTCTGACTTGTCTGATGAAAGACTTTTATCAAAAAGAACGTAGAGGACTAACATGAGAGAAACAGGGGAGAACTGCACTCAATACCACACAGGCCATGAGCGGACACGGGGTATTTGGATCGTACCTATGCAAGAATAATAAAAGAAAGAAAATTAACGAGGCTGGTACTGCGAGGAGGAAGTCGACAACCCGGAACATACAATTTTCAATTGCGGAAGATTCGCAGAAGAAAGTATACACGCCGAAGTGGAAACTGGGCAGCAGATAACAAAAGACTTAGTAAAAATTCTGCTATATTTCTACAGAATGGAACTGGGACATATCACAAGAATTTTAATGAATATCATGAAGTCCACGAGTCTGTCTTTTGTGAGGCTCATTGTTTCTAACCCGTAAGTGTTGACTGGGAGTACGAATGTAACTCAACTTTGAATTCTTCGCAGTATTTCTGATTTTTGATTTTCTTTAACAATTCTGATTTTCTACAAACCGCAAGAACCTAGTGGAAACATAAGGTCGTAATAAGAGGAATGAGCTTGTAGCCGTTCTCAGCGAATAGAGACGGTGCTGACGAAGTCGAATACCAAGTATAACCAATATGCTGAAGATGTACAAATTTCAATAACATGCAGTAACATGGGTAATATGGGTATCACTCATTTGATTCCATTGAAGCCTATGTGTCTAATAGCCTGGTCCTGTCTGTATATTCATCACGTTCTCAATTTCTTTTCCGACGACTGAAAGTTGCATATTTTGCGTGTTGAGGATTTTTGTTTTCGTGATGTTCATCTCGAGCCCTATGTTTTGAGAAGCACGGGGAAATTTCTTAGTCATAGTCTTCATTCATCTGGGTTTTCACTTATTATCACAGCATACACAAAAACAATCAGCAGGCAAACTCGAGCTTTGTATCCTACAATGGCAGCGTGCGCAGAAAGGTACGTGATAAATCTAGAGCCTCTGCCGTTTAATCTTAGGCTGTTGATTTAACCTGCTGATTTTTTTTTTGTATATACTGCGTGTTGTATATACTGCGTAGTATCACGTCGCTGGGAAGTGTATGTGGTGGAGATATTCGCCTCCAAATCCTATTCTTCTTAGTTAGCTATTTACCTAATAAGCATTGATGAAAAGTAGCCTATAACACTCTCCTTTATATAAAGACTACCTGGTACAAATTTCAAGGAGACCGGTTCAGCGGTTTGCGAGTCCATAAACAACGAACAAATAAATATTGATTTTTATATATTTGATTTATTATATAGCTGCAATTAGGAAAAAATATTGATGTAAAATAATAATGTGGTTCAACCAATAAAACATGCAATGAAGTAAAATATTTATTACCCCCAAAAACCTCTACCTATCTGATCATTTCTGCCACATATCATAAGCGCAACATATTGTTTAAATATTTGTTGGTTTGTACCAGCCATAAAACAATAGGTATTACATTTTAATTTACTATTACTGATTGGCATACACAAACACGCTTTATTGAGGACTTCCAGATTTGCACATGTTGTTTACACAAATACACACGTTTTATGATGTTGTGATTGTCAAATTTTTATGATTGATATTAGTTGATTTCCTTAAACTCCTTGGCAAAATATATCATTACATGATCTAGTCTAGCAATATAAGTATTAACTTTCCAAATAATCCCGTTTATTTCTTTTATTTGGGGATTCACAATTGAAGGTAGGACTTAATATTAATCAGTAAGTTACGATTTGCATATTATGGTCAATCTTTTTTATATAACTAGCACAAGATTTGCAACACAGCCTTCTAAACCCTTTTAGCTGGCAATATCTTTGCAACAAATTGAAAGAACAATATTTGGACTCATCTTCTTTGCATTCTCTTAATTTTCTTCCTTTGCACAGTTTGTTGGTAAATCGAGTAAAATTTCCTGTGCAAACTTTTCTTTGAGGCGGTGGTGGTTCTCCGCAAGTACCATCTTGTAGAGCCGGACAATAAGCAGTTCTAGAAGATATTCCAGTACCACAGGTTGCAGAACACTAGAACAAATAATGAGTATTAAATTATCGACATTTTTGATTTAAATACTTTTACTCAACAGTTGTAGGTATCACTTTTTTTAAACTAGTGGCACCACAATCAGAATCAAATATTGAAAATGCTCTACTCTTCACTGTTTGGATAAAATAAATAGGTGTCCTTATCCTGAAAAATTATTAGGTACCCACGTCAGCAATGTTCATTGCGGAAATTTTTATTATGGGAAAAGAAATTGTTTTGAAAAATTAAAATAATACCAGCGAGAGTGGAATAATGAGAGATTTATTATGAAAACAAATCCACAGATGCTTTATTTACACAGTGCGAAAGTGATTTAAAAATGTTTCTTTTGTAGTGATCGAACTAATAAATATATCGGCTTACTTTCGTTTGGTGATAGAGTTATTGAGTGTATGATTAAAAAAAAAAACCTTCAGTTGATCACAAGATATTAACAAAGACATTTCATTAGAAAAATATTGATAACCTATCGATATTACATGCGAATTTATTTAATTGACGAATTTTGATTTATTTACGAGCATGTTATAGTTTTGAGAAATAAACAAGGAAAATTAAAATGATCTGATGCATGTTTCGGCGAGCTATTTCTTACCTCAGTCCATTCACTATACCCCCAATAATACAAACAAGGAATCCTATTGCAAGCTTTTAAATTGCTAGGAGCTATTCCTGTACATTTTCTTGGATTTACCATGTGTTTCCATATATTAACAGGTAAAGTAGTGTCAGCCTCGTCGAATGTTTGCAATATAGAGTTTGGTATGCAATACATTTCTCTGTATTGTACTCCTGAACTACCGCAGGTGGCGCTGCATGGTTCCCATTCGCCTGCTATCCATTCAAATTTACATCTAGAAGAGAAATACCTAATTATAAGAGATATTTATTTAGCCGATACTTGATAGAAATCCATTAAAAATTTTGAGAGGAAAACTTGTATTGAAACATATTACGGCATCATAAGGAAAAAATTTTGGAAATCTAGAAACTTTTCTGTTTCTTTTCAAAATTGAAAATAACTATAGTGACAGTTACAATATAGGTATCAGATTTTTTCGGAAGAGAATTTCGTGAAATGATTCTTATTATGGCCAAAGTTTCCGGAAATGAGACGTGAGTTTCTTTTCAAGTAAAAAAATATATGTATAATAATAATAATGCTTTATTATCACAAAAAAAAAATTGTGTGCTCAAGATAACACAACAGAAGTAAAAACTGCAATAAGGCGAAATTACGATATGAAGTACAGGTATTTTTTTTTGTGTTCTATATTCATTGCCAAGATTAATCTTCCTCTGTATCATACTCGAAAGATGAAGCAATAGCTTTGTGGCAACTGAAAGATGTGATAAATACTTTTGATTCAAAAATAATAACTAGATATTCTTCAGGTTATGCCTGTAATCAACGATGAAACACAACATTTTCTGTCACATTTACATGATATGAGCACACCTGTATTGTATTAAATTACGCTCAAGGATACAAGAAATCACAGTTCTTCGCAAAGCTGCAGCCGAGGGGACATTGAAAATGATGAAGTTAAAGTGAAGACTACCAACCCTTCAGTTTCCTTTCAGAGAGTTCAGGTTATACCCTGGGTAACTACCCCGTGCAGGTGAGCAATGTTTTTTTCTATCTTTGGGAAAACACAAGTGTTTAATCGAAGCTCAAACACACTGCTAATTATTCATACTATGAGTTTGTATTGCTCTGACACGGTCAGATTGTTGGAATACGTGGTGGTTTTAGGTGCTTTCGCTTATGTTGCACTGACAAGACAATGACTAACAAGCTCGAAACCGGTACGCAATTGGCACCAGTACCCAATTATTAAGAATTCGAGTTTCTCCATTGTCTTATAAAGCAAAACCACGACGTATTGCACAAATCTGAACGTGTCAGCTCAATACAAACACGTATTATGAGTGTGTTGGATCTTTGGTTAAACATATGTGTTTTTCCAAATATATTTTCCAACAACTCTCTCTGATTCGATACACTGTCAAGATTTCTTTGATTTGAATTTATTTTCAAAAATCTATATATCAATAACTAAATTATACTAGTTTTAAGTATCCCCAACGGAATTTTCATTTGTTTTTGGAAATTCTAGTTACATGAGCTTCTTTACTAAAAACGTCTAGTACACCGTTCAAGTGTAAAGTGGTTATTGGCACTCTTTTAATCCGTTTGGATCTATTTGGTTGCTATTTTCAACTACAGGGTAATCCAGTATAGACTACCCTGTGGTGTATTGTCCCTGTGGGTTCCTGGTCCCTTCCACAGTGGTAGGGGGTCCAAGGGTCCATTCGGTCTTAGTTCTGTAGCACCTCTTCATGGATCCGTCGACGAGTTTGTCGGTATGGCATGGTGTCTCTTGTGTATGTCCAGATGTTCCTGGTGATGTCGAGTGTTCTGGTCGTCTGTGTGAAACATTTCCTTGTCCTGTTGAGGGGGTCGTCTTTAAGAGGCCGGATGTTGGCCCTCCTGTATACCCGGTCATTGGGTCCCATGTTATGCTCAGTGCCATCCTGAACATTTTTGTCTCGGTACTCCACAGCGGGGCTTTCGCCGATCGGGATGCCGGGCTCCATACCGGGTAGGCATAGCTTAGTATTGGTTTAACATATGCCTGGTATAGCTTGATTTTGGTTTCAGCAGTCAGTCTGGATACTGTCGGAATGAAGGGGTAGATGGCACTACCTGCCGGTCTTGACCTTGAGCGCACCCACTTGCAGTGGTCGTTGAAGAGGAGTTCTCTGTCCAGTTCAACTCTCAAGTATGTTAGGTCATTGTTCTAGTTGATCTGATTCTTGTTGATTGTCATGTAGTTCTGGTCTGGTCGTCTTTTGTGATTGAAGTGTATTAGCCTTTGCATGATTTAGTTTGAGTTTCCACTTAGTGCAGAAGGCGTCTATAGCCCTGACATGCTGTTCGACTTTCAGAGTCGAGATTCGGGTTTGTTTCGAGTTGATGTACATAGCTAGGTCGTCAGCATACGGGGCGAGGTTGGTATTCGGTCTCTTCGGTATGTCGTTTATGTAGAATGTAGATATTGGAGAGGGTGGGGGATATGACACTGCCTTGGGGTAGGCCCTCTTTGATCATTTTTGTGTCGCGTTTCTGATGTTTACGGTGAATCTTCTGATTCTAAGGTAGCTCTCCGTGATTCGATTTATCGCTGGGTTGAATCCTAGGTTAATCATTTTGTATCTGAGGGCCTTTCTCCAGACAGTGTGTGTCATATGCCTTCTCCATGTCTAGTGTGGCTGAGTTTGTGGTTTGTTTTTTGTTATTGGCATCCATGGCGTAGTCTATTATTCTTGGACGACTGCATTACAGCTAACAGTCGTCCTGTTCTGTCTGAATCCGAATTGCTCGTCGATGATTATTTGGTTGTTTTTCAGGTGCTTAGTTATCCTTTTATTCAAGATCCGCTCCAGTACTTTACCAAGGAAGTTCAGCAGCGAAATGGATCTGTAGTTTTCTGATTTGTTTTGGTTCTTACCTAGCTTGGTGAGCATGATGGTTTTGGCTTCCTTCCAATCATTGGGGCAATACTGGAGTTTTATACATGCATTGTAGATGTATGTTAGCTGTACAAAGGCTTTCCTTGGTAGGAACTTGCAATCTTTTGCAACAATACCGTCGTTCCCTGCGGCCTTGTAGGGTTCTGATTTGGAGATAAGTTTGGCGATCTATCTAGGGCTGGTCAGTATGTCGTCTGCATATCTGGGGCTCTGTTCTCAAAATTCCAGATGTGGGAGACCTGCCTTCTGGTGGCGTCATTTGATAGTTGTTCTGTGAGTTTACTTATTTTGATTAGTTGACTTGCAAATGCCTCAGTTTTTCCTTTTGTGTCTGTGATTGTGTTTATTTGTCCTGTTGCGTCGGTTACCCCTAGTGGGTGAATGTGAAACTACTCCTTTAGGTGAGACGACATTAGTGATTTAACCAGGGTGCATTGTTCCAGGTATTCAATTCGGTCGAAGTGGTCCCTGGTTCTCTGGACTCTTGCCCTTAGCTTGTTCTGTTTCTGTATTTCCCTTTGAATGTGTTTGGGAAACTTTTGTTTGTTATTAATGGTTATCTCTGGAATGTGTTGTTCCTTGGCCATCGTGATGATATTTACGAGGTTTCGGATTTCCTGGTCCACTTCGTTTGTCGTCACGATTCTGTTGTTAATCGTAATTCCCTGGTTAATTGTGTTTCTGTATGCTGTCCAATCAGCATCCTTGTAGATTACAAATGGTTTGGGGGGTGTTGTTTGTATTTGTTCGTCGATTTCGAACCAGACTGTAAAGTGATTGGATGTTGCTTCCAATAGGGTTCTGGTAGTTACGTCTAGGTTTCTGATTATTCAAATGTCTATAGTGAAGTTTGCTTGTGGTCTGGTCTGATTGAGTATGGTTCCGGCTGTGTTGGCGCTGTGGTTATTCCAGTTGGGATGTTTGGCGTTTAAAATCTCCGACGAAAATCACTTTGGGGTGGTTTGTGATATTTAGCATTTGTTGGTGGTCAAGTCGGTCGCCATTTTTGTTGTAGGCCACCACTACGTTGATACCCTGGAAAGTCACTGCAATCGACTCAATGTTCATCGTGTCCGATGGTATTTCCTCGCATTCTAGGTTACTTTGGAGGTATCGGGCTATACCTCCTGACGCTACGTTTTCGTTTTTCTGTTTTTGTAATAGACATCATAGGCCTCTATCCTGGGTGGTGTTCTATTTTTGAGTCTCGCTTCTACAATTGCGATGCCTTGTGGTTTTCTCCTTTGGGCCAGGTTCCTTATTTCGTCTATCCGTCCGTGAGTCCGTTTATGTTGATAAGTAATATGTTTAGTGTCCTATTTTCCATAGCTTACAAGGATTTGAAGGATTTCTTGCTGGTTCTTTGCTTGGGACAATTTGTTGTTCAAAGTCCTGAATTGATGTTGAAATCGACATTAAGTTCATCGATCTCTTTCATTATTGTTTGGAATTCTCCTCTGATTTGTCAGTCTGGCTAGGCAGTGGTGGGAAATCCTGTCTCGTGTGGATCGCGGGTTTGTCCTGGTTATTTGTCTGGTTGTTGGCTGTTCGATACGCCTTGCTTGATTTTGTTCGCTTAGAACCGTTTTGGCTGTGTACTGGCCATGTGTTCCTGAAGTTTGGGGCAAACACTGAAGTTTGCCGCGTGTTCACCATCGCAATTGGTACATTGCATTTTGATCTGGTCTTCGATCACTCCACGCTTCCTAAGGCAGTCTATAATTGCTGAGTGACAGCCTGCACATTTCAGGCATTTTATTGATTGTTTACAGTTCTTAGCGCCGTGGCCGAAGCCTTGGCATCTTTAACATTGGGTTATGTTATTGCATTTATGGAAAGTTTCCCCATTTTATGCAGCTATGTTCGATGTGTTTGGTCTTTTTGAGCAAGCCTATGTTAGTTTCTTTTGCTGCGGTAATTAGGTAGGCATGGCCTTCTCCACGCATAGTTTTCATCTGTACATAATCGTCAATTTGGTAATTTTGACTCAGGATTTGCTTTACCTTACCTTCTCTGTGTCCATATTGGGGGGGACCTTTAAATACTACCCTCTTCCGTCTCTCAGTACTAGGTGAGTATGTGTAGTATTGGACATTATCAGTGTCTAAATTTGACCGTACCAGTACGTGGTCTTCTAGGGTTTCAGTATATATTTTGATCTCTTTTGGTGGATATTTTAGAAAGAAGGATTTTCCTGCTAACAGTTTGGTAATGGTGGTTTTGAACTGGTTAAAATTTACCTTAGAGGTGGCCATAATAGGTGGTGGTTTGGGTGCACCGATTCTGGGGGATGCTGTTGTGGGTTCTTCTGCTCTGGTTTGATCTACCGTCAATAATCCGAAACGGTTACTGGTGGGAACATTGGCTTGTTCCATATCTTCATAATCATCATCCGATGATGGGACAGGACTGACTCTGGGCATGGTGATTTTCACTAGTTTGGTGTAAACGGGATCCTCTTGACTAGTCTTCTGACACCCTGGTTCCTCCAGCCCATTAGGGTGAGCCCGGAGGTCAGGTAACTGGGCACTTGTTCGCGACGCGCACTACTTCACGACTAAATTCACTTTGAAACTGAAACTTCGCACTTGGTTTCTCGTAAGAATCGGGTATTGGCACTTGTCAACAATACCATCAAACAGTCTAAGAATCGCTTTGAGATCTCTCTTAGAGCAAAACACGTTTACTCTGCCAGAGCTTAACTCGGAATAATAATTGACAGGCTGGCGCTACCAACACTTTATGCAAAAGAAGCCGTTCTGCTCAAGGGGGTGGAAACGGACGAATGACCAATCGAATAAGCGATCAGATTACATACAGATGCAGAAAGAAATCTTGCGACTAAAGAGAGCCGAGCCGCTTCTGTAATTTGGTCTGTTGAAAAGATTAGAGGTTACATAGAATCCGCAACAGTCTATTCTTAAAGATGCCTGCTGGAAGACTTTTCAGATGGCCTTATCCTCGAATTATATGACCTGGAAATTGAATATGTGCCTAGACGAATCAGGGTTAAGTGGACACCTTGGTTGACTCGTTCCAGTTATCAATAAATGAAACCAAAGTTGCACTAATGAGTGCTGACTCACCAAATGAAAGCTCAAGAAACAACAAGAAACTCAATACGTGATTTATCGGCCTTATAACGTTAATAACTATAACAAGAATACTAGTGATCAATTTGCATTACTCCGGTTGGTACTTTTGTTGGAAATTTAAAACCTTTAGCAGAACCCTACATAACTTCTTATACTCCTTGATATAGGTGACAATCAAAATATGTTTAAGGGTACATAGCTATAAGCTCTAAACAATAATTTTAGTGAGTATCTAATGGGTTTAAGCAGGTAATAAGGTGGAAACAGTTAATGTGTTCTAAATTCCCTGCATATCAGCCTAATATTTCACTTCTTTCAAATAGCTGCGATCAATCTTGCAGTTGTATAGCTCAGTGATAATTGGTGATAAGTTCTTTCAGTGGACGAAGGATACAAAGCATCTTTTCCCACCCATATAAGTTAAAGATTTGCATTGAGAAAAAAATATAGGTATTTCACCAACTTTTTTTTTGAGATGCAGATTCTTACCCGAAATTATTACAAGATTCAGCCTCCACACTAGGTTTTTGCATGAGCGAACAGAACTTTCGCAAAACCAACTTATTTTTTCGATTATCCCAGCAGCCCAATGTTTTTTGCCTTCTTCCTCTACCGCAACTAGCTGAACATGGACCCCAACCTCCAATAATCCATTTGTACCTCTTCGATGGCAGCAGAAAATCTTTGTGGATGGAATACTGGGTGTTTGAGGAAAGGAATATGCCTTCAGAAGCTTGTTTTGGCGAAGTGATGACCTAAATTTGAAACTGGTACATAAGTATTTTAGACTGATTTTTTTTATTTACCATGATAACCAACTCGGCTAAAATAGGCCCAGATCCCCATATATTATGGTTATTACCAATTTTTCTGTAAAAAAAGTTAGTTCCCTCTACGATTTTCGAATGTAGTGCCGTATTGGGTATTGTTACAGCATAACCTTTTTTATTTCGATTTTTCAGGACGAAGGCTATACTTGGAGAATCTATAGTGTTTCGAAACGTAACATTTGTGTCTACTTTAATATGTCTGGCCATCCTTGGGAGCACAGCTACCTTTTTTATCTCTGAAATGACATTAAAATATAGTGCTTTAATAAAAATATTAATCAATAATTTTCTGATAGCAAAGATGAGAACGTTTAGAGAAATGAGTTGAGCAATGTATCAAGAAACTTATAACAAAAACATCTTAAATCTAGAAATCCCAGATATTTTTTTTTGGTGGATTCAATAGATGCGAATGGACATTGTTAGTCCAACAATCCAACAAAATTTTTCTGTGCGTCGATGGTCTTCTTGAATATAGGGGTGAGAAGTAGACATAAAATGCTGCAAGCTACTTTATAAACAAACTTTCGGATATATTATTGAAATTGCTTCTCTTCTATATGCACAATTTCGACATCGCCCAACCTCAGCTAGGACACAGGGATTTTTTTTAGACTGTAAATTTCGGTTTCTTCCTGCCTACCCCAAAAAAGGGTTTTGGGTATCCTTTGTGTTTGACCATTTTTTCTTTGTTAATAATATAGAATGTTGATAGAATAGCCGCGTTACTTAAAGCAGAAATTATAATGTTTAGGTAGGTACCTCGTTTTAGTCTTTTTCTAATCGTAATATTGGTGTTGGTACAACTTGATCCGTCTCCTCCACATACTCCACATTTATCTCTTTTTGCTGTCGAATTCAAATTGCCATCGCAGCCAATCTCATAGCATTTACCCTAGAAGTTACTAAATAAATATTTTACAGAAATGAAAAATAAATATTCGGGTACTTGTATACAAATATCATCTTCATTATCATAAGAACAAGGAGTACCATCGGTAAGATCTTCGTCTAATACAAACACTTCTTTTCGTTCATCACTGACACAAGAAAATTTACATTTTTTGTCATCTGAAATAGAAAAAAACATCAATATTTATCAATAAACTATTAAATTTTGGTCATATACCTTCTTGACTCTCATAAGGTAACCATGTATCACTAGTCCTAACTCCAGTAATATTTACAATTTTAGGCATCATTCTACATTGTTGAGCTCTCAGATCAACAAACTGATTTTTGCAAGAGCCTTTGTTGCAAAGTTGAAACTCTTCGGTTTGGCCTTCGCAGGTGCTACCGCCATAAGAGGGCCTTAAATCATACTTAGTGTAAATTTCATAGCACCTATAATAAAATCTTACTTTGGATTATCGCATCTTCTGGTTTTATACTGTACACCAATGCCACAGGTTCTTGAACAAGGACCCCATGAACTCCAGTTACTCCAACCTCCGTGTTGAGGATTTAGCACAACTGGTATTCTGTTAGCTTTTTGTGGTATTTCGCTGCAGTAACCATTTACACACCACTGAGAAGATTTTTTTTTTAAAATAATTATAAAAAAATGTAAACCAAAGAGACTTTCATCGGCAAAACACAAGTATTTGATCGAAGCAACCTATGCTTATAAACTCATATGATTGATTCTGGTTACGGCCAGACTACACGGTACTATATAAGACAATAGAGAAAACCCGACCGTAGCCTCAATCATTGGATAGTCGGCTAATCGCATATCGGTTCGAGCTTATCAGCTCTCCACAGTGCAACATAAGCGAAAGCATACTACCAAATCAGAGAAACAGGTTTAAATTAGATTCCTACGACAACATTTCTATAAACCTAGTGTGTGGCTCCCTTGTTTTTTGAAAAATAAAATCAAAATGATGCTGACTTCCAATGATTTAGGATTCAGGATCTCTTCATGTTCATTTTATGTATGAAAGTCTCTTTGGTTTATATTGCAACACACGGTCTGTCTTCTGATTTTAATTTTATTTTGCACCCGAAAAAAGAAAACATATTTTTATTATGCACCTTTCCAAATCCGCATTCGGTATTTTCCAAAGGAGGTCCCTTTTTGGTTTTGCAAACCATTGGTGAGTCTTTGTGGCCGCACCACAAATGTGAACATGGTTCAATGATGTCAAAAGCTCTGCACATCAGATATCTGAAATAATTTTAATACTTTTATGAGCTGACAAACTAAAAATAAATGTGATTGGTGTTGCGGAAATAACCCACAACAGGTTTAATTTTTATTATTTCTAATTTAATATATCTCAATTTCTAATATTTACCATAAAAATAATATTCTAAAAATAGATGCTATTGCTGGACTATTTATCCTGTAAAACCGGCAACAACAACCCTTTGAACCAATAAAATTACAGGTTTCTTCATTACCTTATAAGGCAGTGGACCTTTCTCGCTGCTTTGATTGGTCAGCCGCCACATTGTTTTCTAGATTTTTGCGACCTGCTCCCCTGAGTCTAGTCAACGCACATTATTCAGTACTATTAGAATAAGCGAGGAGTTCGCACCCTCGCGCCGTCTGAATGCTCTCCAGAGGAAAAACCCCAAAAACCTTGTTAGTACGCGCTATTTATAGTAAAATACTACTCTCTGTGTCTCAAGGCCTGATATGGTCTATATTATTGGCGATTGTCTTTTGGCTCTCTCTCACTCTCGACGGGCTCCAACGCACCTGTATATCGTTGTGTTTTCTTTTGATCTCAGTGGAAAATTCCCTAGCTGCCAGTGTAAATAGTGGTGATAAATGGATAAATAATCGCCTTGTGGATTTATCTGCATGAACCGGATTAAGCAAGTAAGACCGTTACAATTTCTCTAACAGTCGAACAATAAATAATGATTAGTGATTCGCTTGAAATGCACTATATATTAAGTGTTTTCTAAAGTTTAATGTAGAAATTTGGTTTTCACACTCGTGAAATTAACATTTGTACATTTGTATATAGAAACAGAGCATATAAAAAGACTTTTTTTGCACATATTGTTTACAGACTTCAGCAGAAAAGTGCTCAAATTGTTAATTCTCAATAAATAAAAGAACTTTCAAGGATCAATAAAAAATTTGTGATTGCAGTGAACTGATTGAAGTTGACGAATTATTTATGTTGTGCTCTCGTGCATTTAATTAGTTAATTTGTGTTCTCGTTCATTGAACATTTACCCATAAATGATATTATTATCATTATCAGATTTCCCTACTTTTTATAAATCAAGACACTTAACTTTAGAAAACTTACTTTAGATTAGTATAAAATTTGTAGTTCGACTGGACGTCCAATTAGGAATTTTTAGATAGGATCTGATTGATAACCATAGCGAATTACTTTCATTTATTGATTGAATTGATAACTATTCTATTTCAGCGTTTTATTTGTATAAATGAGAATCAATGCACCCCTTACCCAATACAAGGCTTAAATGATCCAACACCTAATGGTTAATTTTTACAGTCAGTCAAAGTAAAAAGTTTTGGTATCCCTGGTTCGGTTTGACTAAAGCCCAAAAAGGGGCAATAGCTAGTTCCGTCACAATTGGAAAATATATTGCTACATACAAAATGTCACAAAAATCACGTTCGCAGATTTTTAGAAATGTTGAATTTCTCCAGGTGTCCAGAATGCATAGGCCTTTTGTAACATCCGCGAAACATCTTTCTAAATTTATTGCAATTCGGAAAAACTGGATGGATGTCTCTTCTCTTCTCTGCACTTCCTCCTGGCATTTTTCGCTTCTCTGTCCGCTCTCATATCAATGATGAAAATTTTTGTGTATATTCGATGTATTCGGAGAAAGACTTGGTGAGATCATAAATACTGATATTATAGGGACGATATAGGTAAACATGACTTGAATGTTCACCAAAAGAAGTACCTACCTATGTTGATATCTATCAGTTTCATTATATTCTTGAAGAAGGGCCTTGATTTTGAATATTTCGGAAAAATTTTAAATATAATTTTCCATTTTGCATTAAAGTGCAATCGTGTACACACTGAAACATACCGTTTGATTATTTTATTTGTTTGGTTACAAAGCTTTTTAATTAAACCTTCATTTTACCATGTTGAAAATTACGTACATAAACGCATTGCAATTCTAAAAGTTGCATTTTTACTCTGCAACTCGCATGTAAAACAGAACACAGAGCGATACAAAAAAATCTAATTAGTTTTTAATCTACTAACATATAACCGTAACAGGCCTGTCAAGCCTTGATAATTGCTAAAATAAGTGAAATGGACATTACGAGGCGGCCGGGATGAATGGCTAGTGAATTCGTCGGTATTTTTGATCCTGAATTTGGCATTGCCGCTTCGGGTATTAAAGATAAAATAACTGGATTTAAATTGTTAATTTTGGTGAAATTATTTTTCATTAGGTATACTTTCATAATTTGGAGAAGAATTTTAGAGTCAAGCGAGGTTTATTCTTTTTTAGTATGAAATAAGTAGTACGTTCTCAGAATGGTTTTAATTGCTGCTTTGAATCGTCGTCTATAAGAAAATAGTTCAATTGCTTCATACCCGTAAAAATTGCCTTACCCTTCTCCAAACTCCATTCTACATTGTTCATCCATACTAAAAGCCGTTTGAAGTGTCGCATTTAACATAATTTCATCTTTGGTGAGAGGTGCGTTTGATAAACAGCTCCAATTTCTACAGAAATATTATAGAATTGCAAATAATTTGAAATCACGTTCGTTTTGTATCTTACCCAATTTTTTCTTTATACTCTCGTTTAGAACAGGCTGACCATGAAAACTTGCTAAACGTTGCAGAAACCATGGACGCCATCACGCTACCTTCAACAGCATCATCATCGCAATCGTTCCCTGATTTTTTATCTCCATCGTGACTCAAGCCCAACCTAATGAACAGTAACTTAAATTCAGCTGGCATTATTGAAAATGAATCCACATCGGATGCCAATGTTTATAAAATAAGGCGATTATTTTACTCAGGATGTTGGAAAGAATGTCAACGAATTTAGGCTTAAAAGTTGAAATAAAATTCACCGCATCAGATCAGACATACTTCCTTAAAGCCCCAATTCACTCTCGTCAAGCTATAGGTACTTCTTGTCAAACTACATCTTCTTATAATACTCTCTACTAACCGGACGTAAATGTTATAGGCATGGACAACCAGGACACATAACCCGATTGCCAAAACCAAAGAAAAAAATGGGGTGGCGGACTACCCACCAAACAGCAACCTTAGAATTATTTTGTTAATGTGAGTTGTTAATGTTAAAATGTTAGTGTGCCACGAGGCACCATAGGGAAGCTTACACTTCCCTATTGAAACAAATATAAAGTATTCTGAAAAGATGATAATGTTATTATGTCTGTGCGTAGAAGAGAAAGAGGTTACTGGACAAAAGGTTGACTGAAAAATCAATCCCAGTGGGTACTAATATTTTTAGAGATAGTAACAGGATAGAGCTTCATTCAGTGTATTGAAGAGCGTCTATTCTCCTCAGGAAGCGGGGCTTAAGGTCGTCTGTCCTTATTTCTCTATACACTACACGAAATACACGTGTATTTCTTTCCCTTCCACGTATGGATAGATAGATAGAGATTTGGAGGGGTGACTTGCATCGCCTTGTACTTAGGCCTCTTTACTGGGCTCATTGTATCTTCTGTTAGTGTGTTACTCATTTAACCAGCCGACAGTAATGATATAGATCAATAATGTCACAATCCCTATATGATTCGCCCTAGGACGTCTGTAGGACTGGACTGTAGATTATGTACACTCTGTACACTTGGCGTGACTGAAGACTGAAGCTGGGTTTCTCTACATATCAATCCATATCTCATTGTACCTATACCAAGCGAGTTTCTCTCTACCTGAACACCCACCTAAGTCCCCAGGTCACGTCCTAGGACGAAACATATAGGGGTTGTGACAATAGTGCGGCAGCGGAGTACCCTCTTATTGTGGGCATTGCTGGCCACCGGTCCCCGGACTCTCTCCTATTCACGAGGCCTAGACAATAACACATTTTCTGCCATCTCGTCATCCTCATTGTACCCTCTGCAGGTTGGGTCGTTTATCAATCCCAGAGTGCGAAGGAGCTTATTCACTTTGCAGTGCCCTGCTGTAAGTACCCCTGCTGTAAGTACCTCCTTAGGTTGTTCCGAGACAGTTGCAGAAGCAGTGGCGTGTCCAGACTTTAACAGACGGGGAAGCTGTGGGGAAAGATGGTGAAAGTACAGGGCAGGAGAGACTTATAATTTCAGAACCAGTCAGCCATTCACAAGTTTCATATATTTCATTTTGAAAATGTCTTCATAAAGTTTAGTTTAGTGTTCTTAATAAATCCTCGAGGGGAAGCTGTGCTTCCCTAACTTCCACAGTAAACATGCCACTGTGCAGAAGATATTCTGTCAGGTCAGCTTGGGGGCCGCGCATAGCGGCACTCGAGTGCCTGAAGTCCTGTCTCGCCCATATCTCACTAAGAATTCTGTAGGTGTGTTCTTTGACTTTTAGATTTACAGTTTTGCTAGTCAAAGGCATCAAAGTTTCAGGGCCGATTGGTTTCCCTCTCGCTCCATTACGTGCTAAAGTATCTGCCCTTTCGTTTTCTTGATTGCCACTGTGGCTTCTAATCCACGACACCATGCCTGTATTCTCTTGCGCGATCATCTCTAATGTCCCGTGGTAATCTATGAATAATTTAGTTGTTACTTTCACATTATTTAAGGCTTGCAATACTTGCTTGCTACCTGTGAGAAAGGTGATAGTTGTCCCCTTCTTTTCTGCATTCGTACATTGATTTGTTCCTACAACTCCCTGCATTATTCCAAGCAGTTCTGTCTGGAAAACTGACATGTTCCTGCCTAAAGCTATACTTATTTCTAGGTCGAGCTTAGGTATACATACCCAGCCTTTGTCTCGGAAGGGTTTTTTGAGCCGTCCGTGTAAATATGTATATCTGCTCTCATACCTGATTCTCTTGGACCACTCAGTTTCACCCCAAAGGTGTTCTAGCAGTGGTTGACTTTCGACAGCCTCCTTAAACACTCGGGCATGCCCCGCAGTCTCGCTCCCTCCACACCACAATTCAATGGAGTACAGTCTGGCTGCCATTCTTTCTGCCTCGCCTCTTAGATATCTATATAGAGCCGGTAGTCACAGCAACACTTGCAAAGCCATTGTTGGTGTGGTCCTCATTGCCCCTGTGATTGCCAGGCTTGCTAACCCTTGTAGCTGTAGCATTTTGTTCGTAACTATTTGCTTGGTTTTGGTCCACTATACAATAGCTCCATAGATGAACATAGGTCGGATGACGGCGGTGGAAAGGCCACAAAACAATCCTGGGAGATATTCCCCAAGTTTTGCCTATGGCTCCCCTACACTGCCAGAACGCCTTGGTTTTTTTTTTTAGTTTTTTCACATAGGTGCTTATTCCAGTTGAGGGCACTATCCAGGATATTTCCCAAATATTTGACCTCTTTTGAGAGGTTGAGTTAACTGGTATACGCCGCACAGAGAGGGTAGTCTTAGATTGACCAGGTGAACAGCACTAGCTCAGTTTTTGCTGGGTTGATAGTGTTGTGCATTAGTCAAAAAAGAAATTGGAGTCGTTTTTATCTGAATTTATTGATTATTTTGCATGAAATAATAACGTATAGTTAAAGATAAAAATGTAATGTGCTGTAGTGTGCTGCGCGCTTGGTAGTGAAGTGTGATGTGGATGCGCATAGTCAAGGTTACGGTCGTGTTCGTTCTGCGTTCTGACGTTCGGGAGCCAAACGTCATGATTGGTCGTGGTTAATAGAAGTTGGATGCTGGCGGCGCTGGCGCATGCGTTAAAAGACCTCGACGAGAGCTGTCGATAGTCTAGGCGACTGAGTTCTCAATAGTACGGGTGCAAACAGACAGTCAGAGAGTTTACTGAGCATCTCTGCGCATAGATTCTCTATCTCTATTTTACACTCATGTTAGCGAAGTACCATTCTCCCACGCTTACCCAAAAACTCTTAATTGCTTACGCTAGTTTTCTCTTCTTTCTCTCTCTTATGCACAGGATCGTCTATGTGTTTACCTACGTTTCCTCTCTTCAAAAGCGTTAAACGTTTAATGCGTTAAATGCCCGAATGGCTATAAGAAGTTTAGGTGCCCTCAAATTACACTTTCTCCTCAATGAGAACAAATAAAAGAAATAATAACGCAAAAACTTACATATGGGCCATTTCGTGAGCAATGATGAATGCGCTGGTAAGACCCTCGTCTTTATTCAAAGCGCAACTTCTCTTTGGATCGCAGACTCCGCCGACTGGTGCATAGCCCGAGGGACCTCCTATGTCGGATCTGAAAGTTTTCCACAACTAATTTTAAATGCTGGAGTTCGCACAAACGTAAATCAAAGCGGAACAAATTTTAATTAAAAATTTTATGTAAGCTGAATTATGATTATTTTCCGGGATTTTTCTTTTGAAGATTTTCGAATAATATGTGGATAAAAGATAGCAAAGATTTGGGCATTTAAATTTACTCTGTGATTTGTGTGTTTAGGACGAAAAGTGTTTAGGAAAAACATTGTTTGGGGAATTTTCTTATTTTTTTAGCTTAAGGGTTACGTTGTGAAATTAGAGGAAACTAGAAATCCCTGGTTATAGGTGAATGGTTGCAGATAATTTTCTAGTATTTTTTGAGAAGAAAATCCGGACTCATTTGAATAAGCTAGCAGAAAGGTGAGGCTTCGACAATGACCATTCTGAGTTTTATTCGATTTTACGCCTCCGAGATAAGGGAGAATATAGATATTCCAACTTTTTTAGGACTGCAGATATTACAGTAAAGTTAGGAGACACCAGATTCGAGTTTTGTAGATATTTCAATTGAAAATAAGTTATCATTAACTAGTGAGGTTAAGTATCAATGGAATGTATTTTATTTCTAACATCATCGAATCGCATACATACACGAATACATATTCCCAAAAATGAATATTAAAGCATGTAAGGACTGGATTAACTAGTAATATAAGTATTATAAATTATATAGTATGTCTGTCTTTGAAACCTATCAATCACCATTCAGCATGGGCTGTAGGGATTTAGATCAAACAGAAAAAAAACATATACTTTCTTACCGTGTTAACCATATAGCAACATCATGCCTCGGTTGATCATGTTTCAATGACGCATGAAGTTTCTTATTCCAAATGTTGACATTTTCCAGAGATTTCTTCGCATTTCCAGGACGTACGATGCCGTGTTTGCGGTGCTCGTAAAATAGGAGCCTTGCAATTACTAGTTTAATGTTCGCCCCTAACGAGGAATCTTGATAGATGGCACTAACCTGGAAAAACCTTTGTTTCTTATACATGAATTCTAATAATTCCTATCAATCGAATGTTATCATTCCAGGCAAAAAAAAAAGGATTTTCTAAGTCAATTGACGTGCTAGGGTCATCAAAGGTTAACATCGCGCAAATTCCAAATCCCCTCCGTCTTTTCGCTTTTAATGGGGCCATTTAGTGTCCCAAAAAATGTAATTGTGTCTCTATATTAAAGGAGTTTATCGGGTAAAGATTTACGCTTTCCCTGTTTGTTTTAGTACCCGCTATTTGTATGGAGGTTATTGTATTTGAAAGAAATCGAGATATGTATATTTTTCAAAATATAATAAATTAATTTTTTAGAGTTTTTTTTATCGTCTGTTATATAATTTAATTTTTAAATTTAAATTTGCCAATTTGAAATAGCTATTTTCCTGACAAGTGTGGTCCAGAGTTCTCTCAAGCTTGCGTGTGCTCTAGAACATCTTACATGACAGTGGTTCTTTAATTTTGTTTTTTTTTTATTTCTTTCTGATTTTTCTTGATACATGTTGATCTCCATCATTGAATGAATGAATGAAAGAGTGGGCGGCCGCGACCGTAGTGCACATAGGTCTCCTGTGGTGGACCCGTCGTGCCCCACTGAGTTCTACCAGAGGCCTATGTCCTTAGAAAAGCCAATCAGGCACTCTGGCTTCATCCCTTTGACGTCATCGGGCAAGCAATACAACTTGCTCAGGTGTTTGAACCTCGCGCGCGTGAGTGCAGGGTACTCAGCGATGACGTGGTCTGCCGTCTCCTCCTTCTCCATGCACCAGCGGCATTCCGGGTCGTCCGTAATGCCCATGCTGTGGAGATGGCGTCTTGGGTGCCAGTGTCCGGTTAGGAGACCAGTCACTAGCCGTGTCTCGCGTCTGTTCAGGCGCAGTAGTTGTTTGGTGAGACAGGCAGAGGGCCCATCAATATGGGCCATGGCCTGCCTCATGCCAGGTGCCTCCATATCCATCTCCCAAGGAATCGCTCCGCGAGGAGACCCTTGAGGGACGTGACAGCCTCACATTTGGCTATATCCAGCGTGGGCTCAGGGCCCACAGGTGACATCGACGATCCCTGTCTGGCAAGTAAATCAGCTTCGTCGTTGCCCGCGACGCCCGAGTGACCGGGCACCCAGACGAGGCGGACCCGGCAGCCGGCACTCACCAGTTTTCCCAGGACTTTTTTGCATTCCATTACAAGCTTAGAGCGCACAGTGTCAGCCATAATGGCTTTGTTAGCGGCTCTGCTGTCAGAGCAGATTGAAACGACTGCATTCCTGTGGCGCCGGTTAAAAATTTCCCGACCACACTCCATTACAGCAAAAATTTCAGCCTGGAAGACAGTAGCGTGTTCCTCTGAAGAAAAAGATTTACTAATTTTAGGGGACCCTCCGCAAAAACCAGCCCCTGACCTGTTATCCATTCTGGAGCCATCCGTGTACCAGATAGCTCCACTATTCAGTACAGTTGGCTTGGAGCCGCCCAGCCATTCACTTCTATCAGTGATATGGGCCTCCAAGCCTTTGCTATGAACAAGCTCCGGCCGCATGATATCGCTGCCCAGCAGAAGGACAGGACATTTCTCTGCGGCCTTAGACCAAATTCTCGCGTGTCCGGTTTCGCCGGTGCACATTTTGTGAAGGACGTGCAATCTATAGGCTGTCCTCATGGCCTCGAACTGAATCACGAGGTCCAGAGGCGGGAGACCTAGGAGGGACTCCAAGGCCCTTGTTGGCGGTGTCGTACCCGGCGCTAATCGGGGCCCGAACGCCGGCAAAGACAGCGTTGTTTGAACTGCAGCCCGGGAAATGCGTGCGGAGCATGACCTCCAGGGTTTCCTGTTCGTTGGTCGTGAAGCCACCGCCCGGAAGAGACAGTGACCCTATTCTACTACCGGGTTCCTTTGACAGAGCCTTGCAGAGGCGAGCTGCTGGGGATATTTTTTCAACATCCCCGCAGTATTGCCTCCAGCTCTGTCTTTTGGAATCCCGGAGCGCCTTTTTGTACTGCCTTTGGGCTGCGTGAAACGCTTCCCTGGCGCGACGAGTTTGGAGCGTTCAGCCCTTCTCAAGAGCCGGCGCGTGATGTTCCGATGGAGTTCCGTAGTGTGGTTCCACCAGACATTTTTTGCATTTTTGGGTTTCCGTCTTAGTGGACAGCTACCCTCGTATGCCCGGAGAGTTGCGCTGGACAGTTTGTTTATCCCAATCTCAATGTCGGCTGGAAGGTTATACCTTTCCGGCATATCCGAGAGCCCACCTGTGAGCTCCTCCCGAAAGAGGTCCCATTTGGCGTGCCTCGGATTTCTAAAGACTGGGTTATCGCAGCTGGTGTCTTTGTTCAGCTTGAAGAGAATGTGCCTGTGGTCTGACATTGAGACCTTCAGGGACACTCTCCATGCTTTAAAAAGGTTCACGATATTTGGTGAACAGATGGTTAGGTCAATCACAAATTGGCCACAGTTGCAGTGAATGGTAGGGACGCTTCCCCGTCTCCATCATTATCATACAAATTCAACGATGGAAATTATTAACGAAATAGACAAATCCCAAGACGCATTGAAAAAGCACTTAAACGCTACCAATTCCAAGCAAGACTCTACAACCAGGAGCAATACTACCAAGACAAGATAAATGTGCCCAATTCAACTGGTAAAAGATAGCAAAAAATAATTTGGATAGTGAACTAGAGTTTCAATCTCATTTATACTTCAAGAAAAACTCCGAAAAGCTAAACAAAATCTAGAAAGATGCTATGACGTAGATCACTGATAAGAATAAACAACTATATCACCTAGTGAAAAAGTTTTTTCCGGGCTATAATACCGGTGTCCATTAGTATTTCTACCTAACGTTTCCTCTACTGCTGCGGTAGACATCATCAGAGGCGGTGTGGTAGAGGACGAAGTGTTCTCTTCCGTGTTCCTCCGATGACTGGATTCGATACCATACCAACTTCAACAGAAAAGAAGAGGGCATGAACCTCAATAAGAACAGGTTGCCAGTTCTCTGAAAAACAAAGACCCTTCCTTTCCGAGAACGAGACAAGGAAAATAGCGTAATACAGGCCACGCCCACAACCCTGGATATAAATAACGCAGGTCCAACAACGTCGAATCCAGTCATCGGAGAAGCACGGAGGAGAACACTTCGTCCTCTACCTCACCGCCTCTGAAGATGTCTACCGCAGTAGTAGACGAAACGTTACGTAGAAATACTAATGCACCACGGCATTATAGCCCGGAAAAAACTTTTTCACCAGATTTGACCGGCCGTGAAAGCCTTCCTTCTTTAACTATATCATCGTCAAGTCAAGTGTTACAATCTCCGCCAAACAGACTTAGAGAAGAAGACTGAATCAATCAATCATATTCTGGAACAAGCCCACGACGATTCGCAGATGAGAAAATCCACGAATCGTTATCAATTATTATGCAATAAAATCTCGAAGAATTTAGAGACTATCTCCGAGATATATGTACATTGATCTACATGTGCAAGGACGTTTGAGAACTGCTATATGAGGATGAGCTCGAATGAGAAGGTGTTCCAGAAGCATTGGAAACCAATATTCGAGACCAGGATATTCCGACTTAAAACTAGAACACGGATTATCAACAATCAGCAGTTTAAGCATGTCAACGCGTAAACTAATGTTTACACGAAATGGATATAAAAACCGATGCAACCCACGGTATCGGTATCCATTCGGCTCTTCTCAGTGTCTCCTTACCCCAGGAAGTAGCATCAATCCCTTTTGGTTCGCATCTCTCTCCTCAGGATCACCTTACCCAAGAGAGCAGTAGCGACACGTCTCTTCAGGGTCACCTCACCCCAGAGAGTCTTGGAGCAATCCCGTTTAGGGCATCGCTACTATATACGTGCGAGAACCAGTTGCACCTCGGTATAGATACATATAGCCCCAAATGCAAGAGTCATGTGGCATACCTGCGTAGTATCGCTTTGGTAATGTACTCACTAAGAAGCAATATACGATTTTTTTGTATTTGTGTGTTTTCCTGAAGAGCAACCCTCGACCTCAGGCCCTACCCACACTAGCCGCGAGGCGTGTGACATATGGTGGAGGCGCCGTTCGAAGAACCTGTGATGCTGAATCTCCCTATTTAGCATCGAAGTACCTAAACGAGAGCACAGTGCTCAAACGAAATTATGGACTGTCGCCATTGTATCAGGAATGATGTTTGAATGTAGTGATAGTTGCTTATGAAAGTGAGATTCACCGATGTGTCAAGGACACGGACATAGCCGTATCTCAGCCGATGATACGTCTTTACCTGAAGTGAGTAGGTTTAACGAAAATAGGAGGGCACGTGACATAAGCGAGAAATATTGTTCGTCCTCCAAATCCGCAACCATAAACTAGGAACGGTTGAATTTTCTAAAAAACGCAGTGAGTTGAAGACCGTTATGGAAAAATTAGGGGCCACGCCGTAGAGTTTTTGAGGGCAAGAGTATACGTATAGGAAAGTGAGTGGAAAGAAGTCGTTCCAAGTCTCAATTTGGAGGCTAAAGGTCCCGAAACGACAGCAATTTGAAAAAGCGAGAAGATACCCCAGTCAAAAGGCATAGAGAAAAGTTCCCGATTACGCAGTGGTTCCGCTAACATATCCAGGGTCTTCCTTACCCTTGCGAACCCCGCCGTAGGAAAATAGAAAATTGGTGCGAAAAATCAAGCAGAAGTAACTTCTGAAAAAGACCAACCAACTTTTCACACCAACTTCAACAACGACATATGTGGAAGTCGCAGGAAACAATAAAGATGAGACAATAGGTTTTAGTTGACGAAGACATGAACTCAGCAAATCGCCTATCGTTAAAATTATCGTATACTTTCGTAGCATTATCTCTCAAGGGAACGATTCTAGAATGAATAATCTATAGTATTTTTAATCCGAATAGGGCTTGTCACGATGGTAGCCTATATATTTAGATATAATAAAATTGTTTAGGCAAACAACCGGCACGTGTGTTGATTAAATACTGTCAAAGTCAAAATAAAACGTATAGATTTTAAAGTGTTTTTGTTTGTTTGTCTGAACACTTTTGACGTGACTCACGCATGCGCCACAGAATAAAAGCTGAATGACATCCCCTATTATATTGGAGCACTAAGATGACAATGGTTATAGAAATCGCGCAGTCTAGTCAGTAGTTGCACCCATTTCGTTTCCGGGGAGACGTAAGTAGCCTACCCAAATAATTCAACCTATAGCTGCGTGCCGACGTAAATTATTATTTTGGGCTACTGTAGTGATATTTCCTCGCTGCTCATTTTTCTTACAGGGAACGGCATATAAACTTACAATAGATTTTCTATAAATTAATAAAAGAGAGCGACGTGATGTTAAAGTATCCTCGCATAATGCAGTGTTTCAAATCAGAATAAAAATACTATACCCAATTGTGATAAGTCCGTGATAATAAACTGAGGTTTAAAGTGAAGTTTATGTTTCAATAAAAACTAATGAAGAATTCACTGACACTAACACTGATAGAAATAATTATTCCATCATTTTGTTCTTAAATTTCAATTTCCAATTGTGATATTAGACCAATATGTATTCAGCAACAGGCAGAGAAAATATATATTTTTTGACTCACAATATTCATTAAGGCCAACACGTACTCCTGCACCTTATTCTTGCCATGAAAACTTATCAAAGTGTGATCCACTCCAACCGCTATCTCCAACCAACGAGTTGGTAAAGTTTGGCCTGGCCATGAATGCGCTAAAAATATTTTCTAATGAGATTTAATATTTTGAAATAAACCTACTATACCTTCAGTAATGACAGTAGCCGACCAGGCTGTATCATAAAAATATCCACTTGCTTCGTCGTATTCCCCAATTGACCCGTTTCGTAAATACTCCAAGGGAATTTTTGAGTCTTCCGTCTTCGGCTTATCGGTTTCTTTGCTATCTGCTCCGTCAGCCAAAGGATAAGGATTATGATAAAACTCGATATCAGGATCGGACTCGTTACCCTGAATGTCAATAGTGTCTCCCGTTAAATTGAAAACCCAGTCGGCACTCAGATATTGTGTTGAGCGACGTTGTCTTGACGGAAAATTATTTTTTCTTTTTCTAAAATACCAATAAAAAATAATCACTCATGTCTATTAGGTACTGTATCTTTGGACTCGACATATGTTTTCCTAAAAAAAAAATATACCTATTTACACTGCTTACTGTGTACGAATTTTTTCAGGCGATTTTTACAAATGTCTCCTGGCGACCGAAGTACTATACTATTACTCCTTAGGAGATATAAATATTGTCTGTCGTTTTTAATCTGACACTTTCCGTATGAGGAGCGAGGGGGGGAAGCATATGGCAAAAACAGGTGTGACGTCAGGTGACTATTGGCGTTCTAACGTAGAGAGCCACAAGCTCACATTCCTTTGGAGTATCAGATTAAAATCGATGGACTTTAGCAAAATTAAAAAGTTACTCCAAAACTATTTTCATTCAAATTCAAAAACTCACGTTTCAAATAATCTATGTTCGGCCGTTGTCTCGTTAAGAGGCTCAAAAAAGTAAAACCTCTTATTTATTTCAAAATACCCTGTCAGCGAGGTATCGCAAATGGAAACGGACGCATGGCTTCGAGCTTCCAGACCCTGGATAATTCCAGTTTTGTAATGGCATTTTGGTACGTTTCCTTTTGTCATCACATCGGCTTCAATCCATTCAGCTACAAAGTTGCTGGAGAAATGTAAGCTTCCTGGAAATCGTTAGTGTTTAGAATACGATCGCAGAAAGTTTTATTTTGTCGTTCCAATTAAAAGTTACATGGGAATGATTCAATTTCAAGTAACTTCGTGTCTAAGCTTTAAAGATTGGACGTCATATATTGTGGTTCGCTATCTATGAGACTTTAGGTCTTACCCTACATGTCAGCTGAGAAAGTATGGATGAGACTTATACAATAATTATATACCTAACAAATGGAGAAAGTGATACTTTATCGCACGCAACACGACGCGAAGCCAGAGTTCTGTCAAGTCATTAAGGGCGGTAAAGGCACTTTCCGCCTCAGTTAGGTAAAACATTTTACCTATGAGCATCTAAATCTCCAAAAAAGGCATTGTTAATATTTCTGAAAGAGGGAGGATTTTTGATTATAAATACCAAAGCCTACTTTACCGCATAGTGTGCGGTGAAGTGCATACTATTCCACTTACAAATAATTGTGGTAACTTACCGCACGCTCGTAGGAAAAATAGGTATATTATGATAATTTCAAGGAGAGCTCCAGGCTTTGGATACAAATATAATATACATATCAAACTCCGTAATACATACTTGACGTGATTGACTTTCCATGTATTTTATTTTTTTCCACCGTTACTACATTTTCTACTTTCGTCTTCGATTTCCATCATTCATTTCCCTCACCGATTTACACTAATTTTCAATAATCAATGAGAGATTGCAAATAAAACCGTATGCGTAATTAAAAACACTTCCCTAATCGGTATGTAATGTAGGTACCTAGTATTAGTCGCCTTTATTCGGAAAATATACCACTCGTTTTTGTGTGCTGAAATATCCAGAAAATCCAGGGTTGCTTTTAAAAATTGTATTCGTCGTTTCTCCAAAATATAAAAATAAATCATGCAAAATTAAATTTAGATTGTGCACAAATCGAAACTCGAACGAAATGAGTCTTAACTCCGAGCTCCCAAATGTCAGCGTTATGCTGATTAAAGATCCCAGCACGGGTGGGATTATTTCGTCGGTTCGATTCATTCTTGAAGGAAAATAAGATTAGGTATTAATTTGTTCTTCGCGGCAAGAACGGTTTGGGAAATTATCTACTTAGTAGGTTTGATAGTTTGGAAGAAAAATAATAATTGTGGGAATATCTATATATATAAAACACAGTTGTGTTGGTTCTAGCACTTATAATTCGAGAACGGCTGAACTGATTTTCAAGATTTTTGCTTTATTGGATTTGTCTTTGTTCCTAATAACATAATAAATCGAAAAAATCCAAAAAGAAAGCAAAAAACAAAATTACTTATTTTACTTATTTATGAAAAAAAATTACTAAGTCCGCATATGGCGCCATCTCTTATAACCGATACCAAGTTTACCGCCACATTTTCATTGCAAACCATTTTGTATACGGCGCCATCTCTGATACCTAGAACGAAGCTCGCCGTTGCGCGGTAATTTCATTCTAGATTGTAACATTTTAATTTTGCTCTTCCCATTAAATGAGTAATTCAGCGTTTTAACTGGTAACACACAAATATTATTTTAGAGCTGACTTAATTGATTGGATATTAATTACCTTACTCTGCATCTTTTTAGATAATTTCAGGCACAGCCAGACAAGATTTTGCTCCTTATCATTTGTCTAATGATTTAGTTGACCATTGCAGATGAATATTTATTGAACAATGCCTGGTTATCTTATTCTTGTTGTCCTTAAAAGGAATATACATAAATTATCAATTTCATTAGTCGATAGCCAACATTGTTTTGATTTTCAAATAAAAAGGGGTTATGTCCAGTTAATTGTCATTCAATTTTATTTTCGCGCCAGCTCATTTTGAAGGATTAATTCCTTTAGTTTTCACTCCCTCTCTGTCTCTCTCTTACTGGAGGATTTCATTTCTTTTATTTACCTGTTATCGAGTACCTATATCGATCAATTTGCTGGTACTTTGGTTTTGATCGCGTAGGGTTGGGTTTTTCTATAAATGTCGATATAATTGGTGTCGTGTTAGAGAAGGCATGGACAATATTATTTAATAAGTGAAGTTACTTATAGATTTTAACGAGAATAGTGTTTTCCTGATTTGTGTGGATTGAGTCGGTTCCATTTGTTGAGTCCCTTTGGAGGTTTCGCTGACGACTATCGATATCTTTGTCGTTATCTTTCAATCCTTCCTAAAGTGTGGAATGTGGAATTCGATAGAAAAAAAATGTAACATAAAAAAAAGTTAGTGCGTAGAAATTTCTGGTTTAGGGTCCCAAAAATCGTACAACGGTCTTTTCCATTTCGTCCAGCGACAAGAACACTTTGGCTTTGGCCTGAAGGATAGTTTTTTTATCCGGTTGACCATAAAGAAAATTAAGTGATTTTCTCTATTTAATTAGGATCCGGTCATCCAGATAATTTCAATTTTGGTTTTGCCAGTCTAGTTTTGGTTTTTGTTACCTTTTGGCAGCCAAGTCACCTTTCTAAGGGATTTATCTATTTCTTCTAGTCGGTAAGTCCACCATTTTGTGAATTTGTATTGTTGTAAATTAATTAGTTCTATTCTTACAATAGAATATCATTCACGTCGCTTGGATTGAATTGCTTGAGCCTAGACTCTTAGAGCCTTGATTTTATTGTTGCTCGTTATTGTGAACTTCCAAATTGGATCAGCCAGCGTAGGTGAAATTAGAGTTCCATGACGTTCCTTTCACCTTCAACCTTTGAGCTGTGGCCCTCAAAAATCCACGAGGTAATTATAATTGCAATTTTCCATTTTAATGTTTTATTTGGGGACCATTCTATGCCACATTGATTGGTAGACTTATAGTTTTTTTATTTTAATATTTTTTTTGGCAATGCAACTTAATTTAATGAATTGAACTCATTATATTTGGTAAATGGGTTAAAACTTGGGAATTGAAATGTACAATTTCATATCCCAAGTGGCATAATTTCAATGGGGATTTAAGGGTAATTTATTTACTCATTGGTGCTTTCTTTAGGGTCTTATGGTACGGTTTTATGCTACCGTTTTCGATAACGCAACTCAGTGGATGTTTTGATGGTATGCAGTACCCACCACTGTATCTGAATAGCAAAGACTCGGCGAACTAGTTTTCATTGATGAGATAGATCATCTGGTACGAGTGTGAAATCCCAGACCCATTGTTAATTGTCGGCATAAAGCTAAGTAGTTTAGTGTAATTTTTTTTATTAATTATTTAAAAATATCGTATATGGCTTAGGTAACTTTAGTCACTCACATTTAAGTAAACATTTGACCCCATTTATTTGCGGAGTGATCACTGACGCTGGGTGTGTGTTAATTCGCACTTATTGGTTATTTTAGTTTTAAGTATAGCTCTCTGCTTACATAGGTATTCATACATATCAATACCGACAGACAGTTTTCTTAAATCTGACTATGAGGAAGCCTTTAGGTTCTTTATTCCTGCTAGTCGTCATACTAGCCTCTGAATACTTGTCATAATCATTATTTAATCACCATAACTTGTACTAAATCAATACTTAATATTCAATAAATACTGATTTTGTTGTATTGCCAATTACCTGCTTTCTTTGTCTTTTTGCTTATCCAATTATTTTCTTACATTTCAGGCATAATAATTTGGTTTGTACTTTAGTTCAACCTGCAGTCATCGCAGGACTTTTCCGATTTAGTTTCAAAAATTGGTGGCGCACGAATCCACGAACCGGGCACGTGGACACTTTAACAAACTCTGTTGAACTAAGGTCGCAATCCAAATAAGGTTACATTTTGGTAATTGATTTTTCTTACGTAAAATAAGAGTGTTACAAGATACAGTAGAACAATGCTGCTCAGGAACTGGAGCTATTCCGAACAGAACTATTCCACTATTCCGATCAGATAGAGTAGTGCAGAAAGAGTCGATCAGATAGAATAGTAGAACAGATAGAGTGCAGTGCAGATAGAGTGAAACAGGGCTGCGCTGGAGATTTTTTTTTGTTTTCTTTACATTCTTTGAACATTCCTGTGCCTAAGTTTATTTGGTGGTACACTTTACAAGAATAATGCCCACAAGCTGCCTAAAAAGGGATGATGTAAAATTTTAATTTTAGGTGACTTCTGATCCAGAAAGTAAACATTAATTTTCTTCAACCAAAGCCAAATTCACCATCGAAAAAAACTGACTTTAATTAAGCTAATAGATACGTTAACACAACATTTAATAGGTAGGTATTTAATAATTCAGGGGCGGTACGAAGTTCGCCGGGTCAGCTAGTATTAAATAAACGGCAATGAACCCGTCAATATAGAAGATGCATTCTATCAAAAACCCAGTGATCGATGGGAGAGGAAATTCAAGGAAATTGATATAGCTAAGAGAAGGAGAGGAAGAAAAAGCCAACAAGCTGGTAGCAAAATTCAAGGAGAATGTAACGAATCTAACAATGAAGTAAGGCTGATATCAATATGCCAAAAAAAAAATAACCTGAACTAACTAACTTTTCATTCTTCCCCCTCAAAAATCGTGAATAGGCATGCGAAAGTGAAACATGCTAATAGCGAAAGTGAAAGTAACTACTAGCATGTTTCCCTTTCGCTTTCGCTTGCCTATGTACCTAAGATAAAAAAATCTACTTTCGTAGGGAAGAGAATGAAAAATTCATAAATACACTTGGGAAAATGAAACAACCAAAAACGAGAAATTGAGAAATAAAGACCAAACTTAGCATTCTAGGATCTAAGAGCATAAATGCTATCGACCTATTGTTAGAATTATGATTATACAAAAACAAGTCAACCAGGTTCCAAAAGGCAATATGTGGCAATATTAAATTTGTTTTAAAAGCCTGAGAAAAAGCAAATGCCATTATCTACATAATAAAATGTATTATCAGTCGAAACTTATTTAAAGAAAAAGGGTCTGCTTTTATGACTTCTGGCTGGTACCTGGAAGGGTTTTTGTAAACAAGAGAAGTGGTGAGTCACCCTATGAAATGTATAATTTTGCCTGTAAAAATTA